AGGACGCAGCTGGGTGCACAGCAGGAGGCGGTTCAGGCAGCTGCCCGCACTTCGGAGGAGAACCTTCCCGGGGGCAGGAGCAGTCAGGGGGGAGGACCGAAGGGGGTCAGGGGGTGGAGGGGGAGGCGGGCACCGAGGGGCGTCCCCAGTCACCGCGTGGCCCTCAGGCGTTAGCCAGTGGCGCGTTGGGGACAGGGTTTGGTCAGGGAAGAGGCGGGGGCCAGGGAGGAGCTGTTGGAGTCCAGTCCTACCCGGACGCCCGTGCTGCTTAGCCTCGGCGGAGTGCGCCCTCGGCCCGCCGGTGGTGTACCCCTAGGAGGGTGTGTTGGGGTACCAGCTCTCCGCTAGGACAGACACCCCAGAATGTGCTTTACTTCTCTCCCCTGACCCTCCGGAGGGGCGGCTGTTTAGCACAAGGTGGGTCCTCTGTCGTTGGCCAGGACCTAGCCACATGGGCGCACCCAGCTGCAAGGGAGGCTGGGAAACAGCCACCCACGGGGGCTGCAGGCCCCTGGGCCGCCTTTCACAGCTCAGAGGAGGCAGTGAGGCCCGCGGGCAGGGGCAGGAGCCTCTGCCACAGACACATTCTCCCCACCCCCACCCCCGCCCCCCGTCGGTATTTCTGACGCTTTGCCATCTGCAGAGCGCACCGAGGCCGGCGCTGTGCAGTAGACTTGCTGTGTCGATGGGACTGTTTTCTGAATCGTCCAGTTTGGTCCCCATGAGCCACTTGAGGCCGTTGAACACTCCCCGTGTGGCTAGTGCAGCTGAGGAGGGGAACTTTCCATTTTGGCCACAGCTGGCCGGTGGCTACCTTGTCAGACAGGCCCACCTGGGCCCCGGGATCGAAGGGTGCGTTGCCTGCCCAGCGTCTCGTCCCCCTTTTCTCATCTCACAAGCCCGTGTGTGTGGTTACCTTTCTGTCCGGTGAGTGAGACCTCAGTGGTGCAAAGAAAGTGTGAAATACCCGTCTTCATCGTTCCATCCACTGCCAAATCCTCGCACTACCGGCCTCTCTCTCACAGCTGGGACGGTGCCGCAGCGTGAAGGAGTTTGAGAAGCTGA